AGCCGCTGTTGTCCTCTGTGGCCAGGCTGCTGTGCGGTAGGCGCATGTCTGAGAAGTCACTGAGCAGGAGTGCGCTCAGCGCCGCGGTGGCCGACAGCGGTGGCTGCCCATTGTCTCGCACCAGGACAACAAGCTTCTGCTTCACGGTGTCTCTCTCCGTCACGGACCTCCTCAGCCGCACCTCCCCACTCTGGGCACCCACCACAAAGAGCCCGGGGTCGGTGGCCCTCAGCAGGTGGTATGAGAGCCACGAGTTCTGCCCCGAGTCGGCATCCACGGCCACCACTTTGGTGATGAGGTACCCTGCCTCAGCCGACATGGGCACCAGCTCGCTGGATGGTGGGCTGCTGTCTTGCGAGGGGTACAGCACCAGCGGCGCATTGTCATTCTCATCCACCACGACAAGGCGGACGGTGACGTTGGCACTAAGGCGAGGAGACCCCGCATCGGAGGCGCTCACCAAGACCTCCATCTGCTTCACCTGCTCATAGTCCAGAGGCCGCAGCACAAACACCTGCCCGTTCTCAGAGTTCACAGAGATGCAGGAGCAGGGAGGCTGCTCTGCGGGGTGGGCTGGTGCCAGGGAATAGGTCACCTTGGCATTGGGCCCCACGTCGGCATCCGCGGCACTGACGGCTCCGACGAGCACTGTGGGGGCATTGTTCTCACGCACATGCATGGTGTACGACGTCTGGTTGAAGACAGGTGCATTGTCGTTGACATCGGAGATGTCCACCGTGAAGGTCTGGGTGGTCGTGAGAGGAGGTGACCCCACGTCTGCTGCTGTGACAGTGAGGATGTACCGTGCTGTCTCCTCCCTGTCCAGAGTGCTCACGGTCACCAGCTCGTAGTAATTCTTATAGGCCGGCCGCAGGGAGAACGACAGCTGGTCTTCAAGGGCACAGGTGATCTTCCCGTTGGCGCCAGCATCTCGGTCCCTGACAGTAAAGAGGGCGACCACTGTCCCGGGTAATGCGTTCTCGGGGAGGGGGCTGCTGAAGGAATTGACCACCAGCTCTGGTGCATTGTCATTCACATCCACCACCTCCACCAACACCTTGCAGATTGACGAGAGGCCCCCGCCATCTGTGGCCCGCACGCTGAGCTCGTGATTCTGTGCTGCCTCAAAGTCCAGAGGCTTTGTGACTTTAATTTCACCGCTCCTGGGGTCAATTGCGAATGCCAAGTGGCTCTGGCCCACTGCTTGGCTGAACTGATAGGTGATGTCCCCGTTGATTCCCACGTCCCGATCGGTTGCAACCACGCTGATGACCACAGAGCCCTCCGGTGCATTTTCCAAAACCTGAGCAACGTACCGCTCCTCCGTGAAGACGGGAGCATTGTCATTTACATCTAGAACGACAATGTGGATTTGGGTGGTCCCACTCCTGGGCGGAGAGCCCCCGTCCACGGCGATGAGACTGAAACCCACCTCCGCCTGCTCCTCTCTGTCTAGAGGCATTTCCAAGACCAGTTCCACATATTTGTCGTCCTCACTCTGACTGCCAAAAGAGACACTAAAGTACTCGTTGTCGGGAGAGATGCTGTAAGCCTGGATGCTGTTGCTGCCAACATCCAGGTCCCGAGCCCCCTCCAGCGGGAAACGCGAGCCCGGGTTGCTCGTTTCCAGGATTTTAAAAGTGACTCGTTCCTCCGGGAAAACGGGCGAATGGTCGTTGACGTCCTGCACCGCCACCTCGACCCGAAAGAACTGCAGGGGGTTCGCCAGCAGGAGCTCGAAGGGGAGCGTGCAGGTAGCGGACTGCCCGCACAGCTCCTCCCGGTCCAGCCTGTCCGCCACTACGAGGCGGCCGGTGCCGCGGTCTAAGCGAAAGTGCTGCCGGCCGGCGTCCGCGGCCAA